GCCTCGGCCTCCCAGAGAGCTAGGATTACAGGCGTGAGCTACTGCGCCCGGCCCACACCAGCTAATTTTAAAAGATATTTTGTGGTGACAGGGTTGTGCTATGTTCCCCAGACTGGTCTCAAACTCCTGGCCTCAAGTGATCCTTCTGCCTCAGCTTCCCAAAGCACTTGGATTACAGGCATGAGACACCATGCCCAGCCCCCCAGTGACTTTTTTGCTCATCTCCCTGTGACTCCTGTGATCCCAAAGACTCCAATACTCCATTATTGATTCACTCTTGACTCCGATGATCTGTCCTGACTCCTGTGACCCTCAAAGACCCCACATCATTATCTCAATGATTATGCCTGTTTTTCCAGTGACCCCCAATGGCCATATCTCCCTGACCTCCCCTGACCTCAGTGGCCCCATCACTAATGCCCTCATGACCCAGTGACCCCCAATTCTCTGATCTTAGTATCCTTGTCTCTGGTTCCCTTGTGATCCTATGTCCCTGACCCCTCTGACCTCCTCCCTCCAGCCTGATGACCTCATTTTGGCCCCTCACTAGCCCCTGTTCCCCTCTAGGTTACCGCTGCTTCAAGGCAGTGCTCTTCCTCACTGGGTTGCTGTTTGGCTCAGTGGTCATCTTCCTCCTGTGCTACCGAGAGCGGGTGCTGGAGACACAGCTGAGTGCTGGGGCGAGCGCGGGCATTGCGCTGGGCATCGGGCTGCTCTGCGGACTGGTGGCCATGCTGGTGCGCAGCGTGGGCCTCTTCCTGGTGGGGCTGCTGCTCGGGCTGCTGCTCGCCGCTGCGGCCCTACTGGGCTCCGCACCCTACTACCAGCCAGGCTCTGTGTGGGGTCCTCTGGGGCTGCTGCTGGGGGGCGGCCTGCTCTGTGCCCTGCTCACTCTGCGCTGGCCCCGCCCACTCACCACCCTGGCCACCGCCGTGACTGGTGCTGCGCTCATCGCCACCGCCGCAGACTACTTTGCCGAGCTGCTACTGCTGGGGCGCTACGTGGTGGAGCGTCTACGAGCTGCCCCCGTGCCCGCCCTCTGCTGGCGGAGCTGGGCCCTGCTGGCACTCTGGCCCCTGCTCAGCCTGATGGGTGTTCTGGTGCAGTGGCGGGTGACCGCCGAGGGGGACTCCCACACAGAAGGTGAGAGGGCAGAGGCCAAGGTGGGCATGATAGGAGTGGATGGCCAGGGGTGGGTAGGGGGCTGAGCGCCTAGGGAGTGGGGGACAGAAGCTGTACACACCAGCAGCAGAAGGCCTCAATGGCATTAGAAAACTGACTTGCTCAGGGTCTGGGAGGATAGGACCCAAGCTCGACCATTCATTCCACAATGTATGGAATAATGTATGAGCTCTGTGCTAACCTCATTCCAGGCACTGAGGATACAGCAGAGATAAAACAGAAAAGGTCCCTGCCCTTAATGCGTATACATTCAGACAACAGACGTGCAAACAAACAAGATAATTCATTGTGCAGAGTGATATGCAAGAGATATGTGGTATAATGTGAAAGAGTGACCTATGGAGGCTATTATAATTAGGGTGGCCAAGGAAGGTTCCTTGAAGGAGGCGACAGGTAAGCAGAGATCTGAAGGATAAGGGGCCAGGCATGCAAAGAACTAGAGAAGAGGGTTAGTGAGGGCGAGGGCCCTGGGAAGGAATGAGCTTGGCTTGTTTGAGGAAGTGGGGCTGGAGTGTGGTAGGTGAAGTTTGGGAGTCAGGCTGATCATGTAGGGCCTCTGGGCCATGATGAGGACTCTGCATTTTATTAGGACAATGAGATGCCATTAGAAGGTTTAAAGTAGGGGAGGATAGATTCTAATTTAGCTCTTGGAGTGCTCATTCTGCTGCTGAGTGTCAAAAGCACTGGAGGGAAGCTAGCATAGAGGGGGAAACCAGTGAGGAAGCAGCTGCGGTTGTCTGATGCAAAGATGATGGTGCTGGCCTAGGTGAGCCACCTATGGCTCAGGATTGGGAGAGGGGTGACAGTGGGAAGGGGATACCTAGAAGTCTATGAATCTTCCATAAAGACCTTTGGAAGAAAAGAACAACAGCGGAAGTCCCATCTGAGAGGTGGGGGACCAAGAAAGGAAGTGATGGGGTGGGAGCAGGGGTTAGGGATAAGGGGAATCTGGAAGCCTGGAGCCCCCAGGTGGGAAGAGAGAGGGAGGGCTTGGGGGTGATGAGGCACATGGGCCTCAGAGACCCTCTGTGCATCCTTCCACAGTGGTCATCAGCCGGCAGCGACGACGTGTACAGTTGATGCGGATTCGGCAGCAGGAAGAGCGCAAGGAGAAACGGCGGAAAAAGAGACCCCCTCGGGCTCCCCCCAGAGGTCCCCGGGCTCCTCCAAGGCCCGGGCCCCCTGACCCTGCTTATCGGCGCAGGCCAGTGCCCATCAAACGCTTCAATGGGGATGTCCTCTCACCGGTGAGCGCCCTGAGCCCCTCCAGCCCAGATCGGGGAGAAGAAAGTGTGCAGACTCCTCCAAGCAGGACTGGGCTTTCCCCAGGAGCTGGTCACTGTCTAGAAGACCTACTGTTTGTCCACCCATTGGATCCCCTGCACCAGGGGCCTGGTGGGCCCAGCTTTGGGATTGGGGGAAAGATGTCCTGAGTATGGATTTTAAGTGGGATGTGGTATGTGGTAGAAATGCTGGATGTGGTGAGGTCCTGGGTCTACGGCAGTCTGGGGGTGTGTAGGCTTTTGGGGGTACAGGAAGAGGTGGCTTTCAGGGCAGCAGTCTGCAATGGAACTCTCACACCTACGTTTACTCCCACACAGAGCTACATCCAGAGCTTCCGAGACCGGCAGACGGGCAGCTCACTGAGCTCCTTCATGGCCTCGCCCACAGACGCGGACTATGAGTACGGGTCCCGGGGGCCACTGACAGCCTGCTCAGGCCCCCCTGTGCGGGTATAGCAGTATCCCTGCCTATCTAGACTCTGCAGTCACCAGCTCTGCCAGCTTGGGGAGGCCTGCCAGGCCACCACCCAGCCCCCTGGCCCTGCAGCCTTTGGCTGTCCCTCTCCCTTCCCTGGAGAGGGCTGGCCTGGCCACTAGAGGGAGGATCTGTCTCAGGCTAGGCCTGGCCTGAGGGGAAAGCCCCCCTCCCAAGCTCCGAAGGGGCTCCTGAGGGACTTGGGGTATAAGCCCCATTGGAGTGTGCTCAGGGTTGTGAGTATGTTGCCTGTGTGTTCGTGTGTGTGTTGGGGGGTAGGCTTGGAGGGGACACTGGGACCCTTGCCTTAGATTTCTGATTGGTAGGGCTTCTCCAGGGTTGGCCCCACCTCCTCTCCCACTGCTGGGGTCCCATGGGCCACTCCCCTGCATGTCTAAGTGGAGAAGGTCTGCTTTCCTCTCCCATCGCTCCACCTCCCAACCAGACTCATCTAAGGGTTCTTGTCCTAGTCCTTGGGGCAAACTGCAGCACCCCTCAGCCTGGTCCCCTGGCCTCTGCAAAGCCACCAGCCTGAGGGCAGAGGCAGGGGATAGGGGTGGGGGGTTCTGCTCTGGGCTGGGTTGGGGAGGGGGTTGGGGGGGCGTAAATGCACGGTGCATGTCTGGTGTCTGTCATGCCACTCTGGACACCTCATGCTTCTGTCTCCCCCAACCCCACTCTCTGTTTTACATCTTTTATAAATGTGCCAAACTGCATGGCCTCTGCCAGGAATGGTGGTCTTTAGTGGCTGGTACTTCCATGGGCCAAGTTGGAAGCACTGCAGCCCTTGGTCCCCTGTGTCACTCATTACACAGGGGCTCCAGGCAAAGTCTGCCCTCCCACTGTCACATAGAGAGACAGGGAAATAAGCTGTAGCACTTTTATTGTTTCCTGACACTTCCGGTTTCCCTGTCTTCCCACCCCTGCCCAGGGTAAGGGCACACGCCTTCCAAGATGTCCAAAGGCACCTGCCTGGCCTGGTTCCATCCTCCTAGTTACCTGCAGAGGAATGACTCCATGTGGGGCTGGGGAGATAGTGGGTACCACCTTCCTCTCCTCTGGCAGAGCCTGGGCACCCACACAGGAAGAGTTGGGCCCTTAGCCTCTGCCCTACCCTTTCTAGGCCTCTGTCAGGGCTGTGGGGGCAGGAAGGTGGGGGTCAGTTAGGGGTGGGGCAAAGCCTGGCATCTGAAGGGAATGAAGGGATTTGGGGTAGAGGGTGGGGCATCTCCTATGTGGAAGAGGAAAGAAATGGGACTAGCTTAGGAGCCCTCTGCCCAGGCTGATGTTGAACTTGCTGAGATGGGCAGAAGCCAGCTGGGCAGCAGCGAGTGGGGTCAGGGATGGCAGGTGGGAAGTGGGGGGGGGGACAGGTTGGGGGCACAGACCAGGGGTGGGTAGGTGGGAAGGAGAGGAACTGGCAGGAATGGGGGTGTTCAGAAGAGACAAATATGGTCCAGAGGCAGCAGGGAGTGAGATGCCCAGACAGGAAGGGGCAAGGGGTGTGGAAAAGTGGGAACAGCTGACTTGAACCAAGAGGTTCCTGTTGAGAACTCAGGGTCCCCTCCAATCCTCAGCCCAACACATCCCAGAACCGACTGCCACCCGAAGTCCTGGAAAGCCTCCCATAGGTGTGTCTTAGCCCACCAGCTCCCAGGCGCCCCCTCCTGCCCCTCTGACCTCTGCCCAATTGGCTTTACTCACCCTCTACCAGCAGCCGTGTGTGGGCACTGTCCTGGCCGGCCTGGCAGCAGTAAGCGCCCTGGTCCTCAGGTCGCACGTCATGGATGACCAGGCTGTGGGTGGGGCCGTGGCTGCGCATCTCATACTTGTCTCCTGGGCACAGCTCGACCCCCTCCCTCAGCCAGCACACGTGGCCACCCAAGCGGGACACAGTCACCTCTAGCACCGCCCGGCGGCCCACCAGAACTGTCTTCTCGAGAGGGGGGCGGCGGCACATCTGGAGAGGCAATGCTGGGGATGAGGGGCTTAAGTTACTAGGGACACGCATGGCCTCCAGGAGGAGAGGCGCAGCTTCCCTCCCTGCGGGCTCCACTCCTGGCCTCAGCCCTCCATGCCACCGGTCTGTTTTTTGTACCTCCAACCCAAAGTCCCTTCCCCAGGAAACGCGCTGCCCTTCCGTGACCTGCCCCAGGAGAGTCCCACGAGGGGAAGGGAAGGGAGAGAGGGAGCATTCCTAGGACCAGCAGCCAGACCGTCAGTCCCAGGGCAGGAGATGATGTCCCCTTCCCTGTCGCCTTAACCCCAGTTGCTTACCCTCCACCTCCAGTAGAGCCAAGGACTGGGCGGGACCCGCCTGGAAGCGGACTTCACCGGCGTCCTCGGCGCGCAACTCGCTCAGCACCAGAATATGTTTCTTCCCTGGGGGTGAGGGGGGCGCTAGCGAGGCCGAAGCCGCCTCTGAGGAGGGTTCGGGGATGAGGGTGGGGCCGGAGAAGGCCCCTGGGTCGGTTCGGACGCCTTAAATGTGCGCTAGGGTGGGCTGCACGGGGATGCGGAGGGAGAAGAGCAGCGCTCCAGGACTCAGAGCTGGGGGCGGGGGAAAGACTGGGGGGCGGGAGAAGGGCCGGGAGGCGGGGATCGTGGGGCGGGGTCCGTTCGGGCCGGAGGCGGGGCTTATCCTGGTGGGGCGGGGTCTGTCTGAGCCTGGGTCAGGACGGCAAGGGGCTAGAGAGCGTGCAAAGGCGGCCGGACCTTCCTGTCGGATGCGGACGCGGCCTCCAGGTCTCAGGGGGCGGCCTCCGAGCTCCCAGCGCCCCGCGGTCTCGGCCTCCGACACGGTGCACTCGAACGTGGCGCCGTCACCTTCGCGGGCGCTCACCGACCGGAGCTCGGAGAGCACAGCCACTGTGCGCTCTGGGGGGCGGAGTCCGGGGCGTGAGGTGGGGGCGGACCGGGACAGGCCACGCCCACTGCCCCCCTCTGTAGAAGCACCCAGCGTCAGCCCCCGGGAAAGAACCGGTCCGCGACTCCAGTGTCCCAAGCAGTGCCCTGCCCCAGCATCGCCCCATACCCACCGCGCACTGTCAGGCGGACAGGCCCGGCGCAGGCCGTCCCCACCGCGCAGCTGTAGGTCCCGGCGTCCGAGGGGCTGCAACGCCGCAACTGAAGAAGGCGGCGCGTGCCGAGGGCCTGGAGCCGGAGCCGAGGGCTGGGGGTGAGCGCGCGCCCGTCCTAGAGGCGGGAGTTGCAGAGAGTCAGGGCGACCGGGGCTGGGCACAGACGGCCTGGCCCTGGAAGGCGGCGGCGCCCTCTGTTGATACCAAGTGGTCTCTAGGCGCGTTTATGCGTGTCTCGTGTTCCCCCGGCTGGGTCGAGCTGTCCCACGCCTTTGGGGCTGCCCCAGGAACTTCTTAGAGAAGATGTCACCCTTTCGGGACGTTAGTCCCACGAAGGGGCACCACAGGCTCAGGAAGCCCAGGGCCAGATACCGACCACACAGGGCATGGGCGCGGATTCTGGAATTAGGCAAACCTGGACTCAAATACGGGCTACCCCTTTTGTCTGCCATTGGGCAGGTAACTTCTCCCCAATGAGCATCAGTTTCTTCATAGATGATAACAAGACCTGCCTCCTGGGCTTGGAAGGATTAAAGGATTAAATGTAACGTCAATCTTGGCACACGTCCACTCCATGCGTATTAGTTGTTTCTGTTTGGGGCATTATTATTGTTATGCTGAAGTGGTTTGGGCTGGGTTCTGACCTTCTCCCAGGTAACATCAGCCAAGGTTTGGGAAAGCTCGCACTCAAACGTAGCTGTGTCGCCCTCGGTCACCTCTAGGTCCTGCGGCCCCCGCACAATGGTCACTGGGACCTCTGGGAGTGGGAGAGGGAGGACAATGCAGAGGGAGCAAGGGTAAGGGCAGGATGGGGACCCCGCTTGCAGGGACAAGGACACACTTAGGCACAAGTAGTCAATAGTGGACACATCTAGACAAGGTGATCAGTGGAAGCCATTGTGAGTGAGGGAGGTGCTGGGACAAATCATCCATGAAGGATGCTAAGGATACTGGTCAGTGGGGGACACAGAAGGGCCAGAGAGTCAATGAGGTAGGAGCAGCCAACTGGGAGTCACACTCTGAGGTTGTTAGTGGGAGACATGCTGGAGGCTAGGGGGGAATTGGAAAACTAGAGCGGAGATGTGAGTGGAGCCACCCATAGGTGGGCATGGTCAGTGAGTCATGCTTGGCTGGAGTGGACAGTAGGAGACACTGGTCAGTGGGGGCACAATGGGGGGCCCTAGAGCAGGCATGGTCAGTGGGGAACATGCTGGGACTTAAAACAAAAATGGGGGACAGTCATGCAGAGTTGTTAGTGTAGTCACCCTTAGGCACAGTCAGTGGGCTGGACGGACTGGAGTGGTCACAGGACACACTGAGGCAGGCACAGAGAGCCCTGGCAGGCAGCATGGTCAGTGGGGTCACTGAGTAGTCGGTGGGGCCACATGCAGGCAGGTAGACAGTAGGGACCACACTGGCATAGGCATGCTCACAGTGACATGGTCAGTGGTTTGCAGGGCATGGGGCAGTCAGTGTCTACACGGGACTGGAGTGGTCAGAGGAGCCACACTCAGGCAGTGCAGTCACTGGGGCCACACAGGGCCAAAGGGTCAGGGGAGCCACACTCTTGCAGGGAGGTCAGTAAAGACCACATTGGGACAAACATGGTCGGTGGGGGCCACATGTGCAGAGGGCTCAGTAGTCACACCCAGGGTGTCAATAGGGCCACACAGGTCACCAGGCAGGTTGTAGTCTTCGAGGCCACACCTCTCACAGTGAGTCTGGCTGCACAGCGCAGGGAATCCACCGTGAAGGAGACGCAGCCCGAGTCGGCCAAGCCCAGTCCATTCAGTACCAGACGGTGAGTGTGGCCCTCCGCGTCAATGTGGCACTTGGGTCCCGGCTGCAGCCGGATTCCACCTCGGGCCCACTCCCCAGTCACACCCTCCTGGGACAGCTCCAGCTGGAAGGTGGCACTGCCCCCCTCACTGACAGTCACATCTTCCAGAGGCCGCAGCACCTTCAGCTGCCTTGCTGGTGGGAGGAGGTGGGAGAGAGGGAGGATGAGGCCTCTAGCTCAGGCAGGGGCTGCAGGGGCTCACCCACCCCGGTCCTGCCTGCATTTCCCAACAGCCCACCTAAGGCCCTGATAAAAGGAGTTCAGAGCCAGGGTGCAGGAAGAAGGGCGCACAGCCGGCCAGACTTGGTGGGGGCGCCATATTGGGGTTAGGAGAGGAGGACACAGGAAAGGGATGAGTGTGGCTAGGGGGGTTCAGAGTCTGGGTGAGGGGTGCTGTGACACCAAGGAGCATGGAATTTGAAGTCAGACACACCGAGATTGGAACCTAGCTCTACCACATAGTTGGTGTGCTGTGTGATCTTTGGCAAACTGCTTGACCTCTCTGGGCACTAGTCCCAATTGTACAAAGTAAATAGCATTGGGACATGGGCTTATCATGACAATGACATGAACGAAATAAATTAAGAGAGAATATGTATCGCCAATGACAACCCTTCACCCAGCTCTGTGTGGATATTTTTCATGTTATCTCAGTTAATGTGCTCAAAGACCCTTGAGGAAGGGATAGCCCCATTTTTAAGGAGACTTGGCCCAGAGAAGTTAGGTAACTTGCATGAGGTCACCCAGGTAATAGAGAGCTCGAGCTTGGCATGGGCGATGCGGGTGCTATTTGCCAGCCATCCCTGCTCCTT